GTCTATTGTTTATTGCTTTTTGTTTTTCGATTTTATTTTTATCTGACAATACCATATTACCATATCGGTAATGAAAACATGAAGAGACGAATTGAATGCATGTTTTTGCAGCGCTTCGTCTATCAGAATTAACGCTCCAGTCACCTATATTAGTTTTTCTAACTTTAAGCATCAGCAATCAAATTAGCGGAATATTGTGATTTTATGACATCATTATCATCTTCATCATCCCTTAACACTACGTGTCGTTGTGTCACCAGTTTCTGTTGACTGTCTCATCAGCTTTCCCCACCTCTTGCGGTCAGTTGCGATGGATTTCATGGATGCATGCATGAGGCCTGTCCAGTCAGTCAGGTTCTGTAACCAGGTCTTTCTTGGTCTGCCTCTTCTCCTTTTTCCCTCTCCTGAGCCCTGCAGTACAGGGGAAGAGACCATTAGATCTTATTACATGTCTATACCATTGTATTTTTCGCCGTTTCACTATAGTCAAAAGATCAAAAGAGGTTAATAGTTGCCAATTATCATGTGGCCAACCTCTTAGTTTGTATTGTGGTCTTTGTATGATATGCCAAGAATTTTTCTGAAACATCTCAGTTCTAATGCGTGTATCTTACTTTCGAGTCCAGCTGTTAGGGTTAACGTTTTTAGCCATACGTAAATGTACTAATAGCTAGTGAGTGGTCTGGGCAATCGAATCTTAGTTTTGCATAAAATGTTTTTGGATCTTCATAATGTTTGCTGCTTGGCAAGGATTGATTTTGTCTGGGCAATCCTAGACATAAATTCTGGTCTTGACCCCAGGTCACTTAAAATGGATCCTAAAAAACTGAAATGGTTGACTTGTTCTCATTTGTGACCTTTAACCTATAATGGTAAAGTTATGCAAGCTGGAATTATTAGTCATTACTGTTTTTTTTTCTGCGTTTATGCCAATGCCATACTTTATCAATGTTTCTTCGAGCAGATTAACAAGCTCGGCTAGCTCTTGTTCGTTCCTGGCCAACCCATCGAGGTCATCTGCAGACCTTGACTTTGTTATATTCGACCTCTTATACTAACTGTTCCATGATGTTGTTCTTGGGCGACAGGTATCATTCTTTCTAAGAACATATTTAACAGTGTTGGGTAGAGGAGGCAGCCCTGACGGACCTCTACTGTTGTTCGAAACCAGGTCCCAATTTGCCTGTTCAACATGCCCGCAATACTGGCCTTGGCATAAAGCTGTTCTCTACTACGTATGAAATATTTTAGTCATATTTTAGAAACGTCACGAAAGTTTAGAGAGAACAATAATGGAGGGGTATATGCCTGGAAAGAGAGAAAAAGGAAAGCCAAAAGAGAAGATGGGGGCAGGATGTGGCGAATTATCTCCAGATGGGTGTATCGGACGCGGGATGTCTTGTTTTTGATAGATAATTTTTCCGGAGTGTTGTTATGGGAGCAAGATTCTGCAAAGGGCATGCTACTGACTCACTGACTGACTGATGATTCTATGTATGAGGGTTTTATCCATAATGCACATTATGACATCGCATTTACAAAATAAACTGCCACCTACATTTGTTATCGTTTTTGTATTTGGTTGGCTGTCAGATGGGCCGTGAAGCGATTTGCATAGTTTTGGTGGGCCGCAGTTGTAAAGAGTTTGATAAAAACTGCAGTTCGCAACATTGCCAAACCGCCTCGGCATTTATTGGCTGCTTGGGGCTTACTTACTTGGCAGTTTTACGTCGAGCAGTTGACTGTTTCTATACCACACAGCCGGTGCCTCGTTCCGTTGTCGAAACCAATGCAAGGCAGAATACAACCAATTCGCCAGCAGCAGATTAAGCCAGATGTTTCGGAATTAATAATTTTATTCGCAGCCCCTATGCCCTGACCACCGACACTCTGTGTATATGTACATAAAATGTGGTTTATCACTTTTCTTCTTCTTCTTCTTCTTCTTCTTCCTCTTTACGTCCGTCTGGCCTTTCTCTGAGCGTCAAGCATCAGCCAGATGCCCTCTTCACTCCCCGCTCCACCACTCTTACCAGACTGTAATGTTTTACAGTCCCGAATAGTGCACGTGCTTCCATGTGATCTTAACCACGTCTGCCGTATCATTCATCACTATTTCACCTAGTGATGCATTGCTAGCCAATCTGTCCGCCTGTTTAGATTTGTTTATCCGAGGACCACCAATTGAGAACTACTTTTCTAATACTTTGTGTAAGTTGGCCTTCGTTTCTGTAAGGGTTTCCTCTATGCCTGTTTCAATCGTTTGCATATCTTGTACGTAATCTTACCTTTGCTCTGTGTTCATTACATGTTTTTAGTGTGGTGGTGTGGGTCTGCGTTGTCTCGAGGCATTGTGTCCGGCTCGAGTGCTAGAGGTTCTGGGTTCAATTCCCGGTAAGGGCTTAACTTTTGTTTCACATGGACTTCTTTTAAATTCCCCCTAGTCTCTTGGTAGTGAGATCAGACGCCCGTGTGCATTGTTGCGAACGTAAAAAACCCTTGGCAGTTGGAAATCGAAGAGAGTAGCCTAACTCCGGACAAAATTCGGAGTTAAAATTCTACCCAAAGTATTTCAGGATCTAAGCCGGTGCTACAGAGTCTGTGCACTGTGCTGAGCTTCTTCGAACTCAGACTTGAGTTTTGTCGCTAGGCTGCGATATCAGCATCTTTTGGCCCAAGATGCCATTTCATCAGTATGATGTGCCCTGGCGGTAAGCGTATGTTTTCATGTTTCGACATCTCACACGATCACCAAAATCATGGATCGGGTCAATGTTTTTGTTTCGCCTCATCCGTATGGCTAGGCCATTCAGATATTTATATCCTTGCCTTCCTCTTGCACTCTTGCCATCTATCTTAGTAGTTGTTACCAAATCCATATCTTCTCAAAGCATGTCTACACAACTTTGACTGTCTACATTTAATTATTCTGATAAGTTTACGACTTTGACTGTCTACATTTAATTATTCTGATAAGTTTACGACTTTGACTGTCTACATTTAATTATTCTGATAAGTTTACGACTTTGACTGTCTACATTTAATTATTCTGATAAGTTTACGACTTTGACTGTCTACATTTAATTATTCTGATAAGTTTACGACTTTCATCAGTCTCGACGAGGACTGCTTCTGTTTTTGTTTTCTATCCCCCTATGATATTTTTTACATTCTTCTTACAAGTATCTAAAGATTTGTAATTTATGAAATAATGACAACTCTTGACATCTTCAACAGGGCAGTTTGTCATTGCCTTTCCTAACAAATATCTGGAAAACTCACGTACGAGTTAAGACGAATCTGAGCACGTGGCCTTAGATTTCCCACGTCGTATGCTTTTATAATTTACAGTTGCACATGTTCTGTTTTCTTTCTTAAGGCGGTAAATTGATGTAAACTTTTTTCTAATTTACCCACCCCCACCCATATATATATATATATATATATATATATATATATATATATATATATATATATATATATATATAGAGAGAGAGAGAGAGAGAGAGAGAGAGATGTCACTAGCGTATATATTAGATATCAGTTCACAATTGCAGCAATTCGTGGTTATTATTTTGAAAGCCTATCCCACATACAATGAAACGCTGTGTCCATGTAACTCAACAAGCATTAGCATAACGTGACCACCTGAGGGGGAAACTCCAATGACGCGTAAGCAGTGTTTTGTTTTTCAAAAGTTCTCGTTACTTAATTAACAAAAGGCATGCAGGCTGTTTGGTTGGAATCGATGTCTTGTGTTTTTTTCTCCAATTATTGCAAATAAGGCAAAACGAAAACACGATTTTATTTTAAATTAAAAAAAAAAAATTAATAATGAAATTATTTAAGAACTTACACCGACCGGTTTCTGACCGGTTTAAAAAAAAAAGTTAGAGAAACGTTGTAAACTATAAATAAATTCGAAAAATCCTCCCCCCACCCCCCGCCCATAAAAAAGACATTCTTTTCCATCTTACCGTGAGTTTAATTTTAATAAATACAATTTTATTTTATGATGTATATCATTGTTTATATTTTGAACTACGTATTTGTGGGGGCACCAGGGCCTTCTAAACATATGGGCCTGCAGGGCACTTTCCAGGGGGTCCTCGCGAGCATAGGGCCACCCGAGCTTATGGAGCAATTCTTCTTTGTCTTCCGTATGTTCCCGGACAACACAGGGGCGAATCCCACATGAGGCAACTTCAAAAGTTAACACATCAAACAGTTTGTCGCAAAGAAGCACTAAATAGATAGTAGAGATGATAGTCTTTGGGGATGGATTCCAGGTAGCTTACGACAAGGGCAATTGGATCATGACTCATTTGTGTCTCCCAGAAAAACAGAATACTAAAGGGAAGGTAGCAAGCCTTGAAGATTTCCGAAGCTTTGATTATACAAACTTGTTGGGGTATGTTTCCTGAGCTGCAAGATCATTGGATTCTGCATACCTCGTCTACATCAAAGACAAAGATTCAAGACATCTTTAAAGCTTTGCTAAGACGAAGAGATCCCCCATTTCAAACGCCCCTTTGTCTTTCAATTCTCTGAAAGCAGCAGCGGTGAAAAACCGCGCTAACAAATCGTGTATCCTAAACAACCAAAGTTATGTCCCGTAAAAGTGTGGATTATTTCCCCTTGTAAATTCTAACACCTTTTCTTTGCAGCTGTGTTATTGTTTTTTTAAAAACCTTGTTGTTTGATCACATTAATTTATTTATTTCACTGTTTTATAGGAAGTTATCGTGGGTTCGCACTCTGGCTTAGCAGGACTTTTTCAAAAATGATCTTGACTCCCAGGTCGACCCAGTCTTAAGTGGGTACCGGGTGCAGTCCCGGGAAGTAAAGGCATCCGGCGTGATGTTGACCACATCATCCATCTTGTACCGATTGGACTATAAAAATATAGGTCTAGCCCTATATGCCCTATACGCCTAAAGGCGTGGAAAAGGGACCTTTAGTTTGTACATTACTTACTGTATTATATCTCTTTTGTACAGGTATTACATCAGACGATCTCATGGCAGTGACAAGTGGATTGTTTTTCTAGAAGGTAAACTAGGTCTCTTGTCTCTGTGATCACCATAAAGTTAGCACACTATTTAACCATTTTAGTCCCAGTTTCTAACTTAGACTTCTTCTATACCGGAAACTGAAAGGGGGGGGGGGGGGGGTAAGTAAAGTAAAAGTAAAGGACCCTTTAAGTGTGCACTGGGCATATAGGGCTAGACCTATATTTTATATAGACCTCTTGAACACCACAGCTTTTACTCCTCAGGACGTTACCTGGTACCTTTTAAAGGCTGGGTCGGCTTGGAGGCCTGGGTCATTTTTGAAAAAGGTCTGACTAACTTAACTACCCTATAGGGCTGAGCTTTTGCTATGGTATAGTAATATGACACATTTGTTAGAGCAGTCTTACGACAAATCTTTGGACCCATCAAAGATGCAAACAGCTGAAATTTGGAGAATGAGAAATTTATAATCTCTTTAAAATCACCATAGATCACTGGTATAATTAGGGCTGAAAGGGCTGATGCATATTGATTGAATGTCAAATGACAGAGAAGTAAAAACTGTACACAAGAGAAATTAATGATTACAGAACATGAGGCAGACCAAGAAGAAGATGGAGAGATAATATTCAGATAGACCAACAAACACATGATGTCACCAACTGGAGGGAGAAGGCCAACCAGAGAGATGCATGGAAGTGGATGATATCTGCAGCAATGAATGAAACTCAATGGCTCAGGATGATGAAGAAAAAGAAGAAGATGAAGATAATTAGGGAAGGAAGAGCATGGACCTCCAGTGTCTTTACAACTTTACTTATTTGAGACCCCAGTATTTATATATACCTTGTTTAAGATAACAGTATTCATCTTCAAGCTTATTTTAAGGAATGATTTATAAATGAAGTTAATTATGACTTTCTTTAGGTGGATGGTATTGTTTCGATCACATCAGCTGTTCTGAAAGATTTCGCCTAATGCCAGAATACATGAGTTCTAAACATTGGCCAAAGTTCAGAGTAGGTGAGTCATAGGTTTAAAGTTCTTGGCTCGGTTATGGAATTAAATACTTTGGATTAAACTATACCTTTAAGTGGCTTGGGCTCTGAAGTTAACCCAACTTGAAATGGGTATGAGGAATTTTCCTGGGAAGTAAAGAAAATGTAGTATAAATGAGCTACAAACAAACTGATATTAGCAGTGTTGTAACAGACACATGCTGTGAGTGACTTACTCATGATTGTCAATTCTTTTTTCTAAAATGACCTCCTAGAGATACTTGCCAATGCATGTACAAATAGATGAAGCTAGACCAGAACTCTATGTGTGTAGTTAAAGAGGAATAATAAACCAACACAAGAACTGTTGTCATCAGCTGCAACATCAGGGGTGGATAAACTATGGATGGGGGCTAAAACTGGCTCACTTAATAATTTTTACTGGCTCCCAAGGCTGATATAAAATTAATTTCAAAATTCGCCCCCCCCACCCCCACCTCCCAATTTTCCCTCAGTAGTTTTATTTCTATCAGGGAGCCTTCCCTGTGTGGTTCCTGGGTCCTCTTGTGGGGATAACAAGAATAGACTCACTACCTCCCCAACAAGCATGTCACAAAAGTCGACTAACTGGGAGCTTTCTTTAAAGTCAGAGTACATATGCATAAGAGGCAAGGAACCAACAGCTGTCTATACAGATAAGCAAGATCAGTAAAATGGATGCACAGGCAAAACTCAGATCCTGGAACAAAGCCAAAGTCTAGAAATGGACAAACAGCCACCGGGGTATACAGACAAACATCTTTCTTCTCATAAAGTCTGTATTCAGAATATCTACTGGTCCATGGCTTGTGTGCCCTCCACAGTAGCTTTACAGGCAAGCCTATCAACTTGCTCCTTTCCTTGCATGCCCTGGTACAAATATGAAACTGATATGTGTCGGCCCCCACTGCTTTAGAGACTCCAACCACTGTCTTCACTATCTTCAGTCTATTTTCACTGTCAGCACTTCACTATCTTCTTGAGCAAACTCATTGAATCACTGAGAAAGCATGCAAGGGGAAAGGTCTGTGTCTTCAGCCATATTATTGCTCTCGCCATGGCCATGTGATAATGTGTAAGCCATAAAGCACAAATTTAACTACCATGTTGTAAATGAGCATAATACAAAAATGTCCTCAGTATGAATGCCTTAAGAACCATTTTTGTCACGTGAGAGTTTGCTTGTTTGGCTATACCAAATTACCTGACACCCCTCAAAAGGAACTTCTAGGGTTGACAGAGAACAGAATGGCAGACGAAGTCATGGACGTGAATCAGTGATACTGTATTTCCATACTTGTAAGTGAGGTGAGAACACTGTAGGATTACTGTTGCTTTTATCATTATGTTTCTACTACATATGCCCAAAGTAGTAGCAAAAAAATGATGATGATGATGAATGCTATCACTGTCTAGTTGTTCTGTTTTGTCTATCATTTAACTGCCATTGAAACAAGCATGAGAAAGACACATCCTTCTTGCCACAATGAGAATAAAACAACCCTCCTGTCTGTCTGAATACTTCTTCCTCTTCTTCTTTCATTCGCTTGAAATAGATTATCTAAAACTGGATACTGACTAAGAAAATAGATTATCTATAAGTGGATACTAACTAATCTGTTAATAAATTCTTGTCCATAAAAACCAGATGGAAACTGTTTTCTGTTATGTGAATGTGTACAGTATCAGCAGTGAACAATGTTTAACATTTTTCATTGACAATGTTTTTTCTCTCCAGGTAGTGGCATCTTATCAATGGACCCTGAAGAGAATCCCTTTTATTTCCACTCTAATGTTGTGTAAGCTAACTGTGTTCCTAGCTTGTTATTTATACAGGGTATCTCATAAATTTCCATACACAGGACAAAGAAACATTGTTTTATGAAAACCCATTATTTACTTAGTCTCTCCTCTTTTTGTTTTAGGTTGTAGAGGTGAAAACCCATTATCTTACTTATTTAGTCGCTCCTCTTCTGCCTTGCAGTGTAGACGTGAAAACACATTATCTTACTTACTTAGTCGCTCCTCTTCTGCCTTGCAGTGTAGAGGTGAAAACACATTATCTTACTTACTTAGTCGCTCTTCTTCTACCTTGAGGTTTAGAGGTGAAAACCCATTATATAACTTACTTAGTCACTTTTCTTCTATCCTGAGGTGTAGAGGTGGAAACCCATTATCTTACTTAATTAGTCGCTCCTCTTCAACCTTGAGGTGTAGAGGTGAAAACCCATTATCTTACTTACTTAGTCGCTTCTCTTCTACCCTGAGGTGTAGAGGAGAAAACCCATTATCTTACTTACTTAGTCACTCCTCTTCTACCTTGAGGTGCAGAGGTGAAAACCCATTATCTTACTCACTTAGTCGCTCCTCTTCTACCTCGAGGTGTAGGTGAAAACCCATTATCTTACTTACTTAGTCGCTCCTCTTCTACCTCGAGGTGTAGGTGAAAACCCATTATCTTACTTACTTAGTCGCTCCTCTTCTACCTCGAGGTGTAGGTGAAAACCCATTAATATTTAAATAATATGTGGTACATGGCCAAAATTGTTGACATTTCACTGCATGACCTCCACTACTAAAGAACACGAATAAGCACAGCTGATGTTACGCTTGAAATGGCAGTCATGATATGTTACCTTGTCCTTTGTATGGAAACTGATGAGACACCCTGTAGATGTTAAGTAAACGACCCTTTTCCACACCTTCAAGCTTATTCGTCATATAGGGCAAGACCTATATTTTATAGACCAATCAGCCCTCAGTGGGTGATATGGTAAGCATTACATTGGACTCCTTTACTTCCCAGGACTATACCTGGTACCCATTTTAAGACTGGGTCAACCTGGGAGCCAAGGTCATTTCTGAAAAAACGTCTGTCTCTGTCAGGACCCGAACCCCATAACCTTCTGATCCACAGGGGAGCATCTAGCCGCTACACCACGGTAGCCCCTATACATGCTAAGTGCTGCAGTTTAAATGATCAGATGTTGTGGTTGCATATTTCTTCACAAATATGATTAGCCTTACATACAGAGTGAGCCATAACTGTAGAAGTCAGAGTATTCGCCCTTTGATATTTGTAAATTTAGGTTTACAATTTCCTAGAAGTTTATTGTTTGGTTAAGTGCGTTTATATTTTTTGCTATGTCTGCAAACATGATATAAACAGTTAAGGTAGAGCACTAAAGGTAACATAAAAATGCCTAGCAATAAGTCAATACCTAGCTTATGAACTTGACATTAGTCAACATCTAGCACATCAACTTGACATTAGTCAGCATCTAGCACATCAGCTTGACATTCAGCATCTAGCACATCAGCTTGACACTAGACAGCATCTAGCACATCAGCTTAACATTAGTCAGCGTCTTGCACACCAGCTTGACATTAGTCAGCATCTTGCACATCAACTTAACATTAGTCAGCATCTAGCACACCAGCTTGACATTAATCAACACCTAACATATTAATGCAACAGCTGTGATGTCGCAGATGAATATGATGTGGAAGAGCGAAATCAGCATCGCAAGTCAAGATCAATATTTACAAATCACTGGTATTGTCTTTTTTTGTATACGCATGCGATAGTTGGACTCTCACTGGGGAAATGGAAAGGAGGATTCAGGCCTTTCCTTGGCAAATGCTACAGGCACATTTTACAAATTAGTTATTTAGAACACAAAACTAATAACTATGTCAGAGACAAAATATACAAATTTGAGGGACATCAGGAGCGTCTCTTCTCAGTGGTGAAACATCGCAAGCTAGCTTGGTTTGGGCACATGGTGAGACATGATTCGATTGCAAAGACTGTACTTCAAGGAACATTAGGGGGGTAGTTGGAGAAGAGGAGGGCAAAGAAGAACCTGGAATGACAACATCAAGAAATATACAGGACTAAGTTATCACACACTTATTCATTAAGCGAAGATAGAGAAAGATGGTGGCTTTTCTGTGCTAGTGCTTCCATCAATACAGTTCATTGACCCTAATGGGTTAAGGGTTATGTTACCTATGTTATTAGTCAACATCTAGAACATGAACTTGACATTAGTCAACATCTAACACATCAGGTTATTATTAGTCAGCATCTGGCTAATTAACTTGACATGAGTCAACATCTAGAGTATTAACTTGACATTAGTCAACATCTAGCTCATTAACTTGACATTAATTATTACATTATGAAAATTAATAGAAAATATGATTACAGCTGGCACAATTGATGGGAAAAGGAGCCAGGGAAAGGCAAAGAGATAAATACCTGCATATCTTGACCATATGGATAGGATGAGACAAGAGTATGCTCCTGATCTGTGATTCTGGTGATTGTGTATGATTGTGAAACATCACTGCCTAATTGGGAGGATGTATGATGATGATGGTGAGGTAACACTTAGCACACAATGTTTGACTATATTAGTCAAAGTGTAGTACAGAAACTTCACATTAGTTATTGCTGACAAGGAGTCAAATAAATATACTTGTAAATTTGTAAACTGTGAATCTCAGCCTGGATCCACTACAATGCCTGAGCACTGAGCCTGCTTCAGTTTCTAGACCACATTCGGTGAATAGCTTGGTAATCAAGTTTTGTTGATGAAATTGTACATACAGAGTTCCCATGAAACTAAGACCTGTATGGATTTTCAGGATTCTTGCAATATAAATCGTACCCAAGATTGCCAGCCAGACGGACATATTTTGCTTGACCATTGAAACACACAGCAGACATAACTCAATCATAAAGAAAAGATATCCCTTGAAAATAAGCCCTAAGGCAACATTTGAAGTAAATATTTATATAAGACCCATTATTATTCGCGGGAAACATAATTGGAAAAGCTGAAATGTAGAAGTAAAGAAGAAGAAATTGGTTCATACATTCAAAAAAGTCTTTTTCTGTTGTCTGTTAGGTACATCACATATTGTTAACATGAATGTTTCTATTGTTTAATAGATACATCCTGTATTGTTAACGTGAATGTTTCTATTGTTTATTAGATACATCCTGTATTGTTAACGTGAATATTTCTATTGTTTATAGATACATCCCGTATTGTTCAAGTGATTCTTGGAGTGGGACCAGGAATAGGACATCAGGTAAAGGTTTATTTCTACTGTTATGTTGATTCATCACAAAGTGCCATCTCTACATCCTCATGCCCACCACTCCTCCTTTCATATCCAGGTTGGAAACTATTCTACACACTGAGCTACTGACCCAAAGGTTTTGGGTTCGCTACTGAGGCATATGATGCTAAAATAATATTTTTATATAGAACAATCAGCATTTATTGAGTGATTTGGTCAGAATCATGCTGTCCACTTTTACTTACCAGGACAATGGCTGACACCCATCAGTCTGGGAGTCAGGGTATTCAATTAAAAAAATTATATTGTGGAATTGAACCAAAGAGATTAAAGCCAGCAGGCAAGCATCTAGCCACTATGCTATCACAGCTCCCATAATATTTTAAGTCTTAATTTGCCAACACTGGTACAATGGAACTCCCAATATTTGTCATTAGTCCATTCCTGAGGGGAGGACAAAAATTAAAATGATGAATTTTCAACAAGTTTTTACCACAGGAATTAGCCAAAAATGGTTTCATCAGTTCCAGCCCCGATTTTGCCCATCTCTTCTTTAACAAACAAAACATCTCAAAAATTATTGCAGGTAGATTTTAATTACACATTAACCATTATATGTTGTTACTTTACCAATATAATACAGATTTACTCATCGTGATGTCTTAAATATACTCTAGACCTAAATATATATAGTTTTTAAAAAAATGTATCTTTCGAATGGAAAACCCCCAAAACAATGTCTGTTGTTTGGAAGGGAAGTCACATTTCATTATAACATCAGGTAATGTCACTTCTAATGATTCCTTAGCATTTTCAAATGATTTACTAGCACTCATAAAAAAAAAAAAAACCACACACTAAAAAAGGTTTGCTTTGTTCTGTTTTGAAAATTTTCCCAGGAGTGTGCAGACACTTGTCATCAAATGAACTGATATGTTGATTAACTATGGCGATATTTGGGGGCATTTTCTTGATGAAAACAAGCATTCATGCCCAAGTGGACAGCCATTCCTTAATTTCAACACTTGGAACCAGCCCATTTTCTTCTTTTTTCTCATCTAATGACTCACTGGCCACATCAAAGGAGGGACAAATACTGACTTTTCCAGAGAATATCAAAAAAACACTTACGCAAAGAAACAGGAGGAATTTAAATGAAGACAAATGTTGGCATGGGCGAATATTGGAGTTCCACTGTATCTGCAGTATTTCTTGTCTGGGTTTATCGGCTGCAGTCTGGATGGAAAATAGAACGCCCACTGCCTTTAAACAAACATGTCATAAAAATGACTAATTAAGGATTTGCAGAAATTGGATGTATTGGGCAAAAAGGTATAGATATGACAGCTATCTGTAAACCACAACACAACATACCAACCTCCATTTTAAGAGTGATTGCAGAAGAAGAATCTGCAATATCGCCACCTTTACCTTTTGTATGGTTTCCATTTAAAGTAAACATCATTTGTGCTAACAAACTTTAAACTAATAAAAATGTAAAAGTAATTTAATTTGACTGTTTTTGTCTCCCTCAGTTATGGATTTCTCATTCATGGGATCACTTATTCTAGAAAAAGTATTCAATGAACTACTTAAAAAACGAATGAAAAAAGCCAAATCAGTTATCATGGCAGGAACTAGGTAAGTGCTGTTTCAATACCCACTCCTTTAGGATATTGTTGAGTTTTTTTGTGTGGACGATTTTTTTTGGTCATTGCTTCAAATTACTAGAATTAAAATAATGCCTGGGAAAGGATAAAACCACAGACCTGAACCACTATTCTGGTGAATTATATGAGATGATGACACATGGCACCTACAGATTTTCATTAGGCTTATGACCAATAATTAAATAACATTTATTTCTTTTAGGCCCAAGAGGGTTTAGTGTGAGACATTTAAAGAGGGAAATACAATCTGGACCTGTTCACGTTTCCCGGCTCATCTACGCACTTTCTCAGTCTGATCTAGGTCAGAGGGGTGTCATGTTGTATTTTTTTCTTCAAAAAGAGTCTCTTGTGTGACCTAGGCTCAGGTTCTGGGTAGGGGTTTGGGTAAGGGCCAGTTCTAGATGTTCTAGGGTAATTGAAAGCTATGTTGTCATGTTGTATAGTACACATGACATCTGGGTTGATGTAGTAATTGGACGCAAATAAACATGACACCCCTCCGATGTAGAAGAATGAGAAAGTATGAATGAAAGATAAGACAGTGTGTAAATAGGCCCAGAAACGTGAACAGGACCAAAATCTTATTGATAAAGTTATGAGTTATCACTTTTAAGGCTACATTCAAAGTGGCCAATTGGGAAGCCAGATTTTTGATATGCTGAAAATAAGGGAAAATTATGCAATGGTTGGTATTAAAGGCAAATAGCCAGTCACACATTAAGTGTTACCCAGTACTTTAAGAGCTGAAGAGCATAAATGATCTGATTATAAGTTATTTTTTGTATCGACTGCATAAAGAAACCAAATGTAAGCATTAGGAGAAAAATCAGTATTTTTTGGCCACAGAAATTGAAACATACTGTAATATACTGTAACAATTGTTAGTATTAATAAAACATACGGTAACAATTGTTAATATTAATAGACTCACAAATAAAAAATGGCAGTGAAAGAAATTCTTGAGCATCTCTTGCATATAGGCATTAAAGACGTGTAGATAAATGAGTGAATTTTAATGAAGAATGGTAGTTAGGGAGTAGCATGAAGGCTTATGCCAACTGGCAAGATACTTATTGAATAAACCATTTTATTCCCGTCCACTCTGTCTTATTTATTTCAGCATGTGTATTAGAGATAGGGGGAGAGTGAGTGTCCAAGAGAGAGAGAGAAAGAGAGAGAGGGAGGGAGAGAGAGAGAAAGAGAGAGAGAGAGAGAGAGAGAGAGAGAGAGAAATTTAATTTACCATGTCTTTAGGTTATCTTTAGGCTTTTTTAAGATTCAAAGAGCATTCACCAACAGTGATCACTTTTTAAAGAATATTTAAATAACTTTTAGTTCATAACTGTTTAATGAATAGTAATTTTCTCAGTTCAGAAGTTTTGCTTAGTGAGTGATCAGTGAGTGGTGATTTTCCTTTTCTCATTACTAAAAAAACAATGAGGTCATTAATTTACACATATCTTTAGGTATCCAGAAACATCCAAAAACAATCTTCTGCTCCTTCTGTTTTCCTACTGCTTCTGCTGTGAAGCATCAGAGAGAGGAGTTAGATGCAGTTTGATTAAAAAACAGTGGAGCACTATATCTCAAAATTTCTGTTTTTTAGTGCTGGCGGAACTGGTGTTCTCATCAACCTGGACAGAATAGCTGATCAGATTCATGCAAGGGACCCCAAGATAGAAGTCAAGGGACTGGTTGACTCTGGGTGGTTCTTGGACAATGAATCATTCAAAAATAAACCGTGTAGAGATGCATTTACATGTTCACCGATGGCTGGAATACAGAAAGGAGCTCAGTAAGCAACATTTATATTTATTGGAAATTTTTGGGTGGTTCCTCGTGGAAAGGTGGTTAAACTGTGCGCTGTGTGCTCTAAAAGTAAAGGGTTCACTTCACAGGCATGTGCAGTTCACAAGTGCAGATTTTATGGAGATCCCTGAGAAACTTTGCTAGAGCTACATCCCAATGTGGGTTCCGGGGCCCCATTTAGGAATTTGAGAAATAGACCCATTTCCTTTCTAACAAGCATGTCGTAAGAGCTGACTAACTGGAAGATCCCTTTGAAGTCAGTGGGCATCTGCCTGAAAGACAAGGAACCATCAGTCTTTATGCAACTAAGCCAGATTTGTTGACTTTACTTCTGTTTTTCCTTTATTTTTAGCCATAATAGCATTACTTTTCTCAGTGTTTACAAATATTATAGTTGTCAAACTACCTGAAAAGTGTCTTTATGGGTTAGAGCTTGTTGTTATCAAAGATGAGTTGAAAACCAACATTGCAGCATTTAAGGCATCCGCACAAGTGTTTCATCCCCACTTTCAGCAGCCAGTTTTATTTGATAGACCCCTGCCTGTTGTTTATAAACATTGCTGTCTTTTGTAAGCTACTCTTTTAATATTGACATAGTATCTTAATTTTCAAAACATAATGCTGTTTAGAAGTCAGTTTCTTTGATATTACAATGTCATAAAATGTTAGACCCCCCCCCCCCCCCCCTTTCCTTTTTTTTACACACACGCACGCACACATGCATGCATGCACGAGTGCACACACAAACTCCACACCATTCATACCTCTTTCATGCTGTGTGGAATTAAAAGAATTTTTCTACCACATTTAAGTTCAAAAGCCTCATTCTGTGCCTTTTCTTTAAATTTTAAACTGATTGTGAGATGATCAATACTTAACATCAATATATTACCATAGACAGGTTGTAATAAGTCAAAGAAGATGGGGATATACTGGGTACATCCAGACTAGAAGCAAACAGAGAATCACTAAAACAGCACTGAAATGGAAAACACATTGAGAAACAATGAAGATGTCCAGAAGAAACTCTTTAATGTGAATATTTATGAGAGAGGCTAAAGAAACTGGACTAGACTGCATCCATGATATTGAAACAATTGCACAGAAAAGAGAGGAATAGAAGAACAGACAGTTATCCCTGTGAGATGTGTAACAGCATGAAAGGATGATAGTGATGATTTTATAAGTATGATGAGTTAAACACATGTGTTCCATCAACAGAGTTCCATCCCCACTTTCAGCAGCCAGTTCTATTTGATAGACCCCTGCCTCTTGTTTATAAACATTGCTGTCTTTTCTAAGCCACTCTTTCAGTGTCACTGTACTGTTGTCTTCACCTGCTAGAAACATTCTTCATTGGCTGTCAGGTGTTTCACTTCTTGGTTTGCATGCTGCAAGCAGTTTAACTTATCTTAAGATGAGACCCAGTTTCTTTAGAATTAGGTCACGGTTTTGAGGATCTGAATGATCACCTGTGTCTTTTGACATGATATTCTGATCCGCACACAAACACACACACAAAATAGGTGTGCATCTGTATATTTGGGTAATCAAATACAAGGACTGTTATTTAATAAAATGACAGTAGCTGAGTTTAATTACATTAAATTTGAATGCACAAATTCTGTTTTTGAAAATACTTCCATACATCCTGCTCAAAGTCTTTGTCAGCTTCTGCTTCTGATCTCTGAGCTGTAAAGGATTTTTTTTTTGACTGATGTTTCCCAGATAGCCATCTTTGTTGAATGAGATGGCATTTCTTTGATTTCATCCCTTTTTTTGCCAGACATAATGGGCTCTTTGCCAAATTGTTATCTTCAGTGCCCTCCATTTTGTTTTGTTAAAAAGCTTTGTGGTATTTTAGGAGTCTTGTGTTCCTGAAGTTCATGTCATGTATTCTTGTATGGTTGTTTGCTATCTGTAGTGTTTGTTCTCTATCTGGTCATATATTCTTTCCTGAGGTTTAAACAGTAACATGAGTGCCTTCTTTTACATTTATGGTCGTGTTAATGATGATAAATGTGTTAACGTAAAAGAAAAAATAATAAAGGAGATTCAGGCCTCATTTCACATCATTTCTTTGTATTTTAACTCATTCCCTACTGAGCAACTTATAGTGAATGTCTTGGTTTCACCTGACACGATACAATATTGTAAACTTCCTGTAACCCATTCTAACTTCTTTCTTTAACTCCTCCTATTCAACAGAGCTATTATTTTAACTATTCAGACCTAAATATTGATTACTTAGAGCAATAACTCAATTAGAAAAAAATGAGTCAAATTATCACACACACTTGATGTGTTAATACTTTTATAGTGATTTGTCAGTAAACTGACCTGGATCACACATTTAACCCTTTCTGTCCCAACAAACACACCATGTGTGATCAGTTATTATGCTTTCCTGTGAAGCAGTGTGTGACAGAAATGCAATGAGAAAGTAATCTGTTTTTCTCACTTCATACTATCTGAAGTGGAGCTACTTCTCGCTTAACCCAAGTACTTCTCTATACAGGTGTTTTCCTAGCAACACAAAGGTGGCTGTACTCACCACTAGATTCTAATAAAAGGTGCCACTATACACCACAAAGTATCTGTTACAGTAGTGCTAAAAAATTATGCTTAAAAAAAGGTACCGGTATTGCAAACCATTGAGTGCCATCAGAAGAAATGCTCTATCTTTATACAAGCTCAAATAAAAATCCCTCTCTGGGTTCAGAAGACTTAATACAGACAATAGATCCTCTGCTTCTAACAAGCATGTCCTAGAATCCACCTAATTAGAGGCTTTCATATGTGTCAAAACCTAGCTGTAAACCATACACAGAAAAATAAGATAAATAAAATGTGTATGGTCAGGTAACTGCTTCTTCTTCTTCTTCTCTTCCACCTTGTACCTCAGTGAAGTGTCAGGAGAAGATGTAACTGCTGACATGTGAAAACTGACTGTTTGTTTTACAGAGTGTGGGAACCCAGACTTCCTGTCAACTGTACATCCCTGTATCCCAAAGAAGTCTGGAGATGTTTCTTTGGTCACAGAATCTATGCTTCAATAAAAAGTCAGTTGTCTGATTTGTTGAATGATTTTATTTGCCTCATTTCTAGAAACACGAAGGCTGATACTCACATTTCATCTGTCCCAGACATCATGTCATATGACTTTTTTCTGTTTGTATTATGTTGAATGTTTGAATTAAGAATCGACATCACAGCACTAGCACCCGGGGCACTCCCATAAGTGCTCGGTCTCCTATCTTAAGAAGCAAGCGAAGAGTTCCAATTCAGATGGCACCAGTAGTCGTCTGATTGTATATCCGTCGCATCCTTCCCCCAAGTGTTGAGTGTCAACCACATTCCCTGGTAACTCCTTGCAGCGCCATTCTCCTCAGACTGTAATGATCTATGTGCACATCCATGCTGTTCACTCATTCCCAAAGAGCTCTCACAAGTTTGTATTGTTTTTATTATTAGTCACAGCATATGATAAAAGACCTATTACCCCAGTGGCAACCCAAATCCTACGTTTTTTGTTTCTTTTGTTTTAGTAAATATTGAAAAAGTATATGCTTAAGAGCAGCATTTTACAAAATGAAGAATATTTCAGGTAGTCTTTCACTGTCAGTTGAGAAAAGAAAGAGAAATCTTAAAAGCTAAACAAATTCTATCCTGATAAATGGAAGTCAGTAATGGACAATTTGTAGATTATTGAAAAATTATTTTGAAATTGTGGAGATGTGGTTTTATAGATGAATGATGAGAATAACCTGGATAAATAAAATGAGTAATGAAGATGTCTTGAAAGAAACTGACTCACGAAGAGAACTGATTGCCCACATCAGAAAGAGACAATGTATATTCTTTGGTCGTGTGATGAGAAGGAGAACTGGAGTACATTATGATGGTAGAAAAGTTGGAGATGAAGAGAGGCAGAGGGAAGACCGAAAGAACAGATGCTGGATGGTTTGACATCATGGCATGGAAGATCATCTGTGTCAGAGCTGATTGAAAGTACACGAGACAGAAGGTTGAGAATAGACATGACTATGTCACATGGCATAGACTTTGAGAAGAAGATGAAAATATCAGTAATGTAAGAACATTTGTTAAAAGTAAATTAACTTTTACGTCTGTGTTGTCCTCAGCTCCCATCTATATAATTCAGAACCTCTACGATGCAGCACAGATAAAAGTGAACAATATTTTTGAGGAAAGGATGCAAAGTCAACTGTCATCTGAACAGTGGCGGTATCTGTTGACACTGGGTGAGGAGGTCAAGGAGACTTTGCAGAATGCCTCGTAAGTTGGATTCACATGATTTACACACTTTCACTTCTGTGCTTAGAAGATCAGTATTCATTGAAGATTTACTAGCCAAAATGTATGAAAGAAGTAAATCACTCTTCATTATTCACTTACTAACCATAACTTTAAACTGAGTAAATTACATTTCCCTGATCACTTACTAACCAGTTACTTTTAGCTCAATAAATCACTATTCCTTGTTCACTTACTGACCATAACTTTTGAAATAAGTAAATCACCATTCATTATTCAGTTACCAAAAGAATCTTTATTCATTAAAGAGTTATAAACTACAATTGTTTTAAATGTTCTTTAAAAAATGTCAGTTATTGTATCAAGAGCTAACATTATATACCTACAATTTATTATACATATGCTGCATTAACCCTACCAGACCTAAGACCCTGAACGTAACTGTCCCTATAACCTGAGCTCCTGGGCATTACCGCGAAAAAACCAACATGATATACAAAAATATTAGTTACATACAAATGAGTGGCTAGAATATGATGAAACTTGGAGACATTGTAGAAAATAGCTTACCTTTTATCTAGCACGAATATTCCACCTTTGTGTGCGAATTCACTCATCAGGATCAACTTTGTTTCACAAAGTAAACACCAGATGTTGCCGTTTGATGGACACACCCCCTCCTATTACTGTCGATCTATTTCAAGATTGATAATTTTCAAGATTTTCCTCATCATTCGCGCTCTCACTGACAGTGTCACTTCAAGAACCTATTCTTTATGAAATTATCACAGATAATAAATATATATATATATATATATATATATATATATATATATATATATATATATATATATATATATATATATATATATATATATATATATATATATATATATATATGTGTGTGTGTGTGTGTGTATATCACAGAGTCTGAATAAACCAAAGTATGGATCACCTGTTGGACTGTGAAAAGCCTAGAACTTGGTTCATCAGCCGCTCGCTTCATTCTGAATTTTCTCAAATTTTTCACGTTAAAACACACAAAATTGATTCACACACACGGGGAAACCATTTGCAATGTCTAACAAAGCGGACTGACGAGGATTGGTTGGTTATTTTTAATCAGTGACGCATCTTTCTCACGCACTATGCAAATAGCCAAAAAAATTAGGGCCAGAGGTAAGGAGAACAGTTATGAAATTCCCGGAAAACTGGGCCAGCGGTCTGGTAGGGTTAATGACAACTTACTCAGCAATAATGGTAAAGTATGAGGTTTTAATGTGAAATTTTGGAACTATAATTAAAGTGAAACAATGATAAGAACAATGAGACTTTAAGGCCTGAAGCAGTAATGTTAACTTTTAGAGCAAGAACTATGTATGGAGCAGTAATGTCATCTTTTGGAGCCATATTGATAGTATGAGTCAGTAATGTCAGTTTTAGAGACATTTTGCAGTAATGACATCAGCAAATTCACAGGAAACTGTCTCACCCTGAAATTTATAATTCTGTTTCTAGTTTTCCTGATTTATGTGTCATAGAAGGAGAAGAGGTACCAGTACTCAAAGTATCTAAAAAAAGAGGTGCCCATAGGCACCATTAAGTACTTATTACATTAGTGCTGAAATAATGATGCCTTAAAAAAATAAGTACTAATACTAAATACCATCAGAAAAAAAGCTCTGTGTGTAACAAAGAAAAGACTATGAACAAAAGAACAACAGGCAGCATCATTTCTCAATTCTTTCGTTCCTGAGGGCTTAGCATCAGAACCTCAAGGGGTAGTATAGAGAGACATAAAATCAGTGCATCTTAACTGGGCTACTAGGTGAACGTATGATGCGTTTCTTGGGACTGAAAGAGTTAAAGCCATCTTTTATTTTTTTATAATAAACAGATTCTTCTTCTTTTGATTCTTCATGTCAGTGGTATTTAAATAAGACTGGTAGTGTGCACATGTCCTCCTCTGATCCATACAAAGTCTTAAAACACTTATTTAAAAACAATGTGAACAACATTTTGAAACTTTTCTAAAATATCTGTCAGTCAATCTGTTTTACTGTGTATTTCCCCCTGACTCAGATCTGATTTCCAGTTTATAAGAGTTCTATTGCTAATTTCCAATTTATTTTTTATTTGTTCCTTTTTCACAGTGCAGTCTTTGCGCCAGCTTGCGTTTCTCATGAGATTCTCACCAAGCCGTAAGTACACAAACTAACCTAAAGTAACATTAATTATTGAAAGATCTTTTAGAATACAGTGGAATTAATCTTTTTTGTTTGTTTTGTTTGTAGCCACACAAAGACAAGATAGGAAAACGATGCTATTGTAAACATTTCGTTGTTGATATTGTCAGTGAGACACACATGAAATCCTGAATATTCTCTAGCACAAAACACAATGTTGAGATGAAATTATACTTATCTGTGATAAATCCTGTTGAGAGTTAATTAGAAAAATATAATGTCTTCTTTCTCTGCATTAGCCCTTTAAATAGTGTTTGGCATGGTGTTTGTGGTTTACAGCTAGGTTACAATAAAAAAAATTTTTTTTTAAATTTAGTCTCCTTTTACGACATGCTTGTTAAGGGGCAGTGGATCTTCTATCCCAACATAGTAAGCCTAGAATCTACACAGGGAGAAAATAATACCATAATTTCCTAAGCGATTGCTGTGCTTTAGAAATGAGATTTACTTTATATTTTTTCAATGTCACTTAACAGAGAGTGGCACACAGTAACCATAGATGGCACATCACTACCACAGTCAATACATTGTTGGGAGAACAATCAGAGTGCAACTTCATCATGCAGTCAGTCGAGGTATCCTGTGATTACATGTGTTTTGTTTTTGTTCTTAGTTACTCAGATAAATTCTTTGACTTTTACTGCAGAATCTTCATCTTCTGACCAGTACATCTCCAGGGGCGACCCAGCCTCATAAAAACCGTACCAGGTAATTTTCAGAATTATCTGGAAATGAAGAAGTGGCAAAGAAGGAAACCAACTCCCAAACCTAATTAATCATTGGATAGAGCAAATTTATTCCAACTTCAAAAGGAGGCACCTCTAATTAGTTGCCTTTTATGACATGTTTGTTAGAGGGACAGTTGGTCTGTTTTTTCTTCTTCTTCTTCTTTTTCTTTTTAAAGTCCATGCCGTGTGGCGTTGGTAGTCTTATGTACTTTCAGTCAAATCCTGACACAGGTAATCTTCCATGCGATGATGTCAAACTGTCCAGCATCTGTCTCCCTCTGCCTCTTCTCCCCTCCAACTTTTCTACTGTCATGATCTACTCCAGTTGTCTCCTTCAAATCACATGACCATAGAATGAAGATTGTCTCTTTCTGATGTGGGCAATCAGTTCTCTTCGTGAGTCTATTTCTTTCAAGATGTCTTCATTACTCTTCCTATCTGTCCAGGGTATTCTTATTATTCGTTTATAAAACCACATCTCTACAGCTTCTAAATAAGTTTTCAGTAATTTACTAACTGTCCATGATTCACATCTGTATATCAGTATAGGATTTTTTTTTTTTAGCTTTTAAGAATTCTTTTTCTCATCTCCATTGACAAAGAAAAATTGCAAAAATATTCTTAATTTTGTAAAAAAAAAAAAAAAATTAAAAAAAATCACCCTTTAAAATTGGGCCCCAGAATCCACACGTGGAAAGGGTTTGCTGAAATGGTAACGAAAATAATTATTGTTAACATAAACTATAATTTCTTCTTTTGTTGCTGTCGCACACAGAATTATAAATGCTGTGAGAAATGAATGTCATAAAAAAAAAATATTACTTTGCTTGGTGGGCATGAGGATTAGATGCTTGCCTGAAGTCTTTTGTTTAAATCTGCATTGAGGGAGATTTTTTGGCTCTCCTTTAAACTACGGCCGGTTAGACAACCGGTTAGTCGGAGTTCAATCCCTTGGCTGCAGTGCAATTACGGAGTGGAAAAGAGGGAACAAAACAAATGACATAATTACTGTGTGTTGGCGATAGACAGCGTGCAGTGCCCTGGTTTGGGTTAGGGTTTCGGTTAGGGTTTGGTTTAGGGTTAGCAGTATGGTTTTGGCTAGGGTTTGGGTTAGGATTAGGGTTAGGGTAACACATGTAACGTCCAGCTAGCCACCGCAACCACGCAAGCTTATCGCTCATTAAGGGATACAGATCCGCAGGTGTCACATCTACGGCCACAAAGTCTTGCGTCGCAAGAACGCAGTCGTTAATGTGAGTCGCAGCGCGTGGTCTAGCTCTAGCAGCCATGTCAACGGCACTTTGCTTTGTGATTCGTGCATTCTCCACTCCGTAATTGCACTGTAGCCAGGGGACTGAATTCCAGCTAACCGGCCGTCTAACTGGCCATAGTTTAAAGGAGAACCGATTTTTTTGATTGATTATGGATCGAGGTTACTCAATGTCTTAAGGAGTCAGCTAAAGAAACTGGAGTGCATACAGAATAAAACTACGCAGCTAATCCTGGGTTGTACAAGGGACACCCTATTGTGTGCATGTGTTACATCCTTGCATTGCCGACTATTGCAGATAGGCTAAATCATACCTCAGAGTAGCTGCAGACAGGCAACACCCTTTGTATGAAGCTTTGGCTGCAGGCAATGGTCAGAGACTGAGAAGGGGAAAATCATGGATGGCTCATGCAGAAGACACAATTAGACAATATTGCATGCTGGAGAACATTAGGCGACGAAAGGAGTGGGTTAGAGTACCAGCGGAAAAGTCTGACCTGTGTAGGGTTATGATCACATTGGGCCGAGTGTGCAGATAGTAGCCAGCAGATGCTACAGAGGTTGAAGTCCAACAATTGAGTGATGACAGTTCACACCCAGGTGATCTGATTATCTTTACAGATGGTTCTTGCTGAGAGGAAAGAGAAGTGTCTAAAGGTTTGTAGCCAAAGCCAATAGAAAATATTTAGTGCAAGACAGCCTAGCATGTGACACCACAACATCTAGCATGAGAATAGAGGTGGAGGCGGTAACTGCAGCTCTCGGGTGGCTAGAGAACAAAATGCATCCTACACATGTCAATTGTAACAGACTCTGAAGCATGTTGAAAAAGGTGAAGACAGGGATGCTTCGAGCAGAGTGGCAAGATGCATTGGAAAGGTCACGGGTAGTGAGCATACTTTGGATCTTTTCTCCAGGCCATGCCGGTGTGTGGTGGGGGGGGGGGGGGGGGGGGGGGGGGGTAATGAACATACAGACAGATTGGCTGGATCTGCACCACTGGGTGGTGAATTGAAGGAACGAACAAACGAACAAGCTTTATTTTCAAAGGGTTACAAATTGGGCACGCAGGCCCATCTGACATTCGGCCCTTCTAAGTACTCATTTTTCAGAGTACCAATACCTGTTATCAATAATGCATTTTATGGATATAATAAAGAAAAATAAATTATAGAATAATGCATACACACATCATGTGTACACAATCGTACACACTCACACACAGGTATACATACTCCTACGTTCTCATACATGTGAACTAAAAAAACAGACATACGTGATACATACACACACGCATCTACATACATATACAAGCATACACATACATAGACATAAATGCACAAACAGAAAACACACACTCATACATTTATGGATATACATGCACACACACATTCCATACATACACATCTATACATGCACCCATGCATACACACATATACCATCACATGTACAGACACCAACATATGCCCAAAACCACACATTTACACTTACATGAATACATACACCCACATATATGCATACATACATGCATACATATATTCACACATACATGCATACATACACATACATGCATACATACACATACATGCATACATACACATACATGCATACATACACACATTTTTACATAGTATACACACATACATGCATACCTAAATATACACATATACACCCACATACTTACACAGCAAAGATACATCCACCAACATGCATACATACACACATAGGTACATACATACATACAAGCCCACACACATTACATACATACACACACATGCATGCATACACACATATATACAATCACCCATACAGATATTACATATACACATGCATACCTGCATACATACATACTTGCATAAATTATATACACACACACCCACAATCAGATATACACTCATATATTAACTCATACTAACAACATAGATACATAAATACACACACACATACTTACAAACCTAAATATACTTTCATATATCCACATGCATACACACACAATCACACACACATGCATACTTGCATACATTTATAAATACACAAACACCCACATACCTACACAGCTACATATACTTGCATACACCCACATATTACATAAATACACACACACATACAATCACATACTTACACAGCTACATTTACATACATACATTCTCAGACATACAGACATCCATAATACCCTGGAGAGAATGAGGCATCTGGGTGTAACCAGAGGGTCTGGCCGGCTCACTACACTCAGAGGAAAGGCAAGATGGACATTTAACCAGATTGTAACTGGTACCATCAGTATTTGAACTCTGCACTGGCTGCTAAATATGAGGACGGAGCATGCATGGGAATGCCCCGAGTGCTGTGATGTCAATTCTTGACTCAACACAACTCTTGTCACATTGTAGTGTTTCATAGCACTAATTTCTTCACAGCCCAAACTGCCATCCCTTAAGATTTCTACCAACGCAAAAAAAAAAAAAAGAAATTTTCTGTAGCTTATTTCATGATTTTTCTTTATAAAAATGTATTTGTTCATGTTTCAGTATAAAGAACTCTAACTCCAAAAATGATACACCACTGTCCGATTCACCACGGCATAATCAAAATCACAGGAGGAGAAGAAGAAAAGGCAAACGGAAAGGAAAAAACAAGAAAAGAAAGAATAAAAACATGAATGGTAAGAATGCAATTATTTGTTTAACATTATTTTTATTTAAATAATGCGGATCCAAACAATACATTGCACAATTTTTTGCCAGGCTTTTTTTTTGTATCTCATCAGGTGCGTTACTACAGAGTTACATCAACATAAAATAAAGCACAAAACTGAATAAATTCAACTGAAATGCGAATAGTTTCTTCCAAAACATTGTGTCTGTTTCATGGCCACTGGAAGCTCACCGTAGTCACGTGACTTACCAGGGCAACTTCAAATTTACGATAAATTCCATCTGCTTACAAAGAAGGGGGGTTGTTGATTTTTTTGTATGTGTTAATGCTTCGGCGATTCTCAAAATTCAACTGAAATGCGAATAGTTTCTTCCAAAACATTGCGTCTGTTTCATGGCCACTGGAAGCTCACCGTAGTCACGTGACTTACCAGGGCAACTTCAAATTTACGATAAATTCCATCTGCTTTTTGGTGTGTGTTAATGCTTCGGCGATTCTCAAAAGTCTCCTGTTCGGAGTGTGGTAAACCACACAGAAAGCAGTGTCTGTGTCAATTACTTGTCCGGAATTAAGTAGATGACGTCCTATGGAAGAAGCGGGTTCTTTCCTCTCACCCTAGAAGGATCACTGAGCTGTATTTGTAGCCATTTGGGTATGTGCTCTGCCACTCTATTTCCAAGCTGTCTCTCTGTTCGACCGATGTCAATCAACTGGCACTTATATGTAAATTATGTTTATTGACTGCTATTATATTTTTCTCATCCATATAAGCAAACATGAACAATTAACGTTCAGTCAAATATGTGACTGTTTTACAAAAATAGGTTTGTGACTCTTCTAAGCTGCAGAAGAAAAGGTTATGGTTTAGCTAAAGGTTTTTTTTTCTTTCTATTAAACCTACTAGTTGTACATTCTATTATAGTTTTTCTCTCCTGACTAACTTCATTAGTCAATCCTTTTCTACCCTGGGTTGTAGAGGTTTACCAGAGAGATCTCCAAATTTCTTTATCAGCAGTCTTCTTTTTGGCTTTTCCCATCCCAGTCCTCTGTCAGGGTCTATCAGATGTTGTCTTTCCTGCCATCTGTGGGTCGACCTGGAGGTCTGGTTCCCTGGTACTTGGTCTTCCATGCCATGGTGGCCTATTCTTTTCCATTCTACAGACATGTCCAAACCATCAGAACTGTGACCAATTGCGTTGAGTTTGTATGGACTGGATTTCAAGATCATGACTTTATGTCTGATTTAGAACTTTGTCTTTTCTTGTCACTGGGTCCACGTTTCTCAGATTCCTGATTTCTGAGGCATGAAGATGGCTTCTGTGAGCTGTTGTCATTGTCCATAACTTACACTTGTAAGTCAGGACTGGCACATAGGTAGAGCAGAATAGAGCTATTTTCATCCTCGATTATTTATTTGCTTATCTTGAATTAATCCTCCCCATGTGGGATTTGGGTCCCCATTGTGGGGAAAAACAAAAATAGGCTTACTGCTTTTTAACAAGCATGTAAAATTCAACTAATTAGAGGTGTTTCTTTCAAACTGCATCTGCCTGAGAGGCATGGAACCAACAGTCTGCTTGAATATAAGCTGGTTCTGTAAAATAGATATGCATGCAAAACTCAAGTTTTGGAACAAGACTAAAGTCTAGAAGTGGATGAACAACCAGAATTTTCCACTGGAGATTATAGTGGTGAATATAAAGAAGAAAATGAAGAATTCATTGTTTTTAATGTTTCCTCAGTTTATAACTTAATTAATAAAGTTTTATTACACAACAAATTGATTTCTTCAACAGGAGAAAACAACAGAAATTCTAGATCTGTGGCCAAACGCTGTCAGCACAAACTCATAGATGCCTGCCCCTGGCCTCATTGTAACTGTTCCTGCCCTAAATGTAGATGGGACACCATGACACACGTTAATCAGTTCTTACTACAGACTTTAGCAGCTGTTATGGGAATTGATCCTGTGAAAATGGCCAATGTTCGCCTGTGTGGCTACTAAGATGTTCATACTTGTGTGTCAACCAAGAACATTGTATTTGTTCACCAGCCGGTTAACTCCAGCGGAAAGTCTTGGCTGTTCATTCATTTCTGGACTTAAGCTGTGTTCAAGGAGTTTCTTTCTGCATATCTGTTTTACAGAAATGGCTTATTTGCATACAGACTGTTAATTCCTTACCTCTCAAGCAGAGGCGCTCCAACTTTTTCTGGCAAAATCATTCAAGAGTAAATTTATCAGCTCATTGTTAATGGAAAATACATTGTTAACATGGCGGCTGTTAATGAAAGACTGTGTTAACAGCTGGAATATAATTTTAGTGTTAACATTACTTTTGTTAAAATTACTGCTGTTAATAGATACAAGGTTGACATTACTTGAAAAAATGGAGAAGTGTAACCAAACAAAGAAACACTTTTTAACATCCCTGCCATTATCAACGGGTACCTTGTAAACATTGCTGATTACAGTGTTAATATTACCATTAATGAAAGATACACTGTTAGCATTATCATTTATAAAGGATACACTGTTAATATTGCTGCAGTTAATGAAGAATACAGTGTTAACATTGCTGCTAATAATGGATAGAATGATAACTTAGCCATGTTGATTGACTGGAGCATTGACTGTTAACATTCAGAAAGCTGGATATACTTTAATTTATCTTTAAGAGTCACTGCTGTAATCAGTGAGGGTATGCTTCTACCTCTGCGTTTGCCCATACAAGGGTAGTTGGCACGATGTGTTGTAGATTACAACTAGGCTGCAATATCTAAGATGACATGCAATGTCATTAGGAAAAATACAATGTTGACACACTGTTGTTATTTTTTTTAAGGGTTTAGTGTTAATATGGTGTTTGTTATTATTGAAGGATTCTGTGTAGATGCGTTTTTATTAAAGGATTCAGTGTAAACATGGCATTATAATGAAAGCAGTCCATGTAAGCATGATCCTATAGTTGAAGGATTTCCTGTAACTATAGTTATTATTTTCAGTTTATTCACAATATTATACCCGAATGAGTCCCTGTAAACCTGGTATTATTGTTGAAGGTTTCTATGTAAACCTGGTATTATTATTGAAGTTTTCTATGTAAACATGGTGTTGTTATTAAAGGTTTCTGTGTAAGCATGATGTTATTATAGAAGGATTTCATTATATGGTGTTATTATTGAAGGATTCACTGTAAACCTAGCATTACTGTTGAAGGTTTCTGTGTAAGCATGATGTTATTATAGAAGGATTTCATTATATGGTGTTATTATTGAAGGATTCACTGTAAACCTAGTATTACTGTTAAAGGTTTCTGTGTAAACATGGTGTTTTTCTAAAAGAACTCCTTAAACATTGTGCTACTCCTGAGGGATACATTGTTGATTTTCATTTTTGTTTTATACAATGTTTAAAATATCTAAGCCAAGAAAAACAAACAGCTGTGGTAATGTTTTTTTTCTGACTGGGTCTGGCAAACAAATCAATGTGTAAAAAAAAAAAAAACCAATGTGTAAACAAGTTTCATAATGGATTAGAAAATGAAATCTGATGTATCTCATAGACTGAAATACTTCAACCATATGAACTCTTTCTGTGTGTTTTATGGTTTAATGGAAGCCGTGGGGAAAAAACATAATGAAAAAAAACTATGAATTAATTACATGGGGAAGCCAGATTTTGTTAGTAGATTCTGACCAAATATAAAAAATAAGAGAGCACATTATGCTGTGGAGAAAAATTAAGTGTTTAAGTCATTTACACACCAGGTGTTGCTTGGGACTGAAAAAGAAACATTATAATGGTTTGGAGAAAACAGTAATAAAAGGTATGGTTGCTGGAAGGTGAGACAGAGGTCAACCAGTGTGATGGTGGACACAGGAGGTTCCTTGAAGCTGAGACAGAAGTTGACCACTGCGATGGTGGACACAAGAGGTTCCTGGAAGCTGAGGTAGAGATTGACTAGTGTGATGATGGACAGAAGAGGTTCCTGGAGGCTGAGGCAGGGGTTTACCAGTGCGATAGTGAACACAAGAAGTTCCTGTAAGCTAAGGCAGAGGTTGACCAGTGCGAAAGTGGACACAGGATATCAGAGAGACACTGGGATAAAAAGTTCAGGAGGTTGGAATCGCTGGCAGGAGACTCAGAAAAGTAGAGAAAGAAATAAAAATAGATGTGTCTAACTGTTCTATCTGGGTCTAGATGTTAAGAATGTGTTTCATAATTCTGAGATACCTAATTCAGTTCCAGGACAGGCAGTTTAGCAGCAGATCACCTTGTATTGATTTCAGCATGGGCATCAAAAGTCAGACGGTCAGAAGCCACGGAAAACTACTGAACATAAAATTGTCTAGTCTAACCTCAAAAAACAAACCAGGCAAAATACAGGCAGTAATGGTTGGCACCTGTGGCTTAGATGTTGCAAACACGCTTCATAATGCTGGGTTTGATCAAAGCTGCGGGTGATTTGGCAGCAGACCATCTTGCCTTTGTTTCGACTGTGGTACCGAAAGCTGATTGTCAAGAAAGCAGTGGCAAATTATTGAAAGTAAAATTTGCCTAGAAAACCACAACAGCCAAAATAAAAACATACTGGGGTTGGTTCTGCAACATCGGGTAAAGGATACATAAGTAACTAACAGGCAGTTCTGACCTATGTGAACACACACGTATGCACACACCATCCCCCTCCCCCATAACCCTAATCTTTTAGATTCCAACTTAGCCTTGTTTCTAGTTAGGAAACAATTAAGTTTTCCTTGATAACACAAAGCACCCGTCTTGAACAGACATGAACTATTGTACTGTCCATTCTAATTGCTGTCACTGGAAGCTGCTGATTAGATGGTTAAAGTGAGACGCCAAAGAGGTAATGCTAATTATTGGGGGAGGAGGGGGGGGGGGGATTAAGGGATCTGAGTTCCCACATTACAGCACCTGTGACTGACAACAAAGTGTCTAAAAATGGTACTGGTACTCACAAGTTGTCTGTTGCAGAAAGTACAAGTACAGGATGCTTTTCTACGCCTTCAGGCTGTTGGGCATATAGGATTAGACCTATACTTTATAAACCAGTTGGCACTTGGTGGGTGATATCGTCAGCATCATACCAGCCACCGTTACTTCCCAGGACTTCTATCTGCTACCCTCTCAAGGCTGGCTCCACCTGGGAGCCAAGGTCATTTTTGAAAATAGTCCTGCTCCATCAGGTCTTGAAACACGATCTTCTGATCCGCAGGCAAGCATGTCCATTATAGTAGTGCTAAAAAAGTAATGCCTTAAAAAAAATTGTTTCTAGTGAAGAAAGCCCTGATAAGCTCAGTGACAAAAACTTCAAGACAAACAATATGTATTATTAGTACTTCCATAGTTTTGTTTTCAGGATGAATACTTAGAAATGAAATGAGTTTGCTCGTGTATATAATTAATTCTGTGAATGTTGAAATTCACACAATGAACACTTTGAAACACTGATATTTTTGTCAAAAACTTTAAGTGGAGTGAAGAGTTGACATCACAGCACTTGAGGCATTCCCTTTTCCTTTCAGTCCCCATCTTCAGCAGCTAGTGCAGAGTTCCAGTACCAATGGTACCGGTCATAGCCTGGTTAAATGTCTGTCTCACCTTTTGTCTGAGTGTAGTGAGCCGGCCAGACCCTCTGGTCACACCCAGGTGCATCATTCTCTCCAGGCCGTAATAATCTAGTTTCTCTTCTGATTTCGTTACTTGTTTCCAAAGGGCTTTTGTCATAGACTTAAAAAATTATTCTGCAATGTGCTCTGCTAGGGGTTTGATTCTACTCACCACATTGCTGTAATGACATACACATAGTTGCTAGAACACTACAGACAACGAATGTTCAGTAGTTGACCTTTATTCGTTGTTACAAACATCTTACTGACTTAGCGCATTCTTTCGTCCTCGTTGTCGCTATGCATGGCTGATTTCTGATGACCTGGCCAACTCTCTCACACGGTGATTCGTTCCGCTCGTATCTCTTGGATCATACATCTGTATCATACTAACGTATTTTACCAATACCAGGTACATGGTGAAACTAGTAATCAGGAAACATTCATCTCTGCTCTCGAACAAGTACACGTGGTCATACGTTCTCCATTCTCATCAGGTGTTCTCTTGCATACGACCGCATACAACCAGGTCCGAACTTCAACACTCTTACCACCCTCTCTGGGTTCACATCTTCCGTTCCAGCTTTCCTCGTATCCCTTATTCACTCACCACGGGATACTCGAGATTCGCTTATCTTGTTTTCCTCTTGTATCACTGGTCCTCTTATCTTGTCCTCCTGATCGGGAACTCTCTGGGATTTCCCTGGGAATTCACAACATTACATATACCATAACCTTTAGCCCTTTTCTTCCTTTCCGTAATTTCTGAGCCTGTTCCATGTTATCCTTTGATAGCACAGTCACCATAGAGCAATTTTTTTGTTGTGTAAAGCCTGTGAAAAAACAGATCCTAAATGCCTTATTCAGGTTAAACACATGTAAGAAAGGTGACTGCAGAGTGAGGGTTGCTATGTACATTTGAATTCTGTAGTATATTAAACAGTAAATATGTTGCTGGATAATGTAAATAAGTTTTGTGTTGAAGCATATGATTACTTTTAAAAAACTAGAGAATTCAGCATTAAATATATGTATGTGTATATACTTGAAATGTGATAAAAGGTAGACAATGAAATCTTAAGAATGTTCAGTTCATACAGAGCATACCAGTGTGTGCGTGTCTGTATGCATGCGCACGAGTTTGTGTGATTGCCTGAGTGTGTGCATGCATGTGTGTATATATACTTATGTATGTGTGTGTGTACATATATATTTTATATATATATATGTGTGTATATGTATACATACATACACACATATTTATGTGTGTATATGTATTCATACATATATATATATATATATATATATATATATATATATATATATATATATATATATATATATATATATATATATATATATATATATATATAT